TCTTACGATGACCAGGTCGCACAGGTGACCCAGTTTATGATGCAGCCCATGAAGGAAAAACAAAAGGGTTATGTGGTGTCGAATTCGTGGCTGAAGCGAGTGTACTCGCGGAGTGCTACGCATGCAGACAAGGCAGACAAGACGGCGATGGAGGGAGACATCGGTCCCGTCGATAACTCGGATATTGTCCTGGTCACCGACCCGGCCAACACGGGCTTCAAGGACGAGGAGGGCGAACCCTTTGTTCCTTTGAGGCCTGGATTGGAGCTCGGCGAAGATTTTGAGATCATCCCTCAAGGAGGCTGGGACCTGATCATGCAGTGGTATGGTTTGGCAGAACAGTCCCCGGCCATCGTCCGTTACGTTCACAACACCGCCGCCGTAGGCGACCAGGAGAACTTGCAATACGAAATCAACCCTCCGATCTTCACGATCCTGAAGCTCACGAACCCGTCTGCCGGCACTTCCATCAAGACGATGAAGGAGAAGACGATGGCTCCAGTGAGAACCCTGGCCAGTCGGCACACCAACTTCCAGAAGTGGCTGAAGAACGCCAAAGAACTTGCTCACATCGACATGTCGACAAAGGTTCGCGTTTGGAGGATTCTGGGTGGTCTCGGTAGTGCCACGGCATCCGCAGCAGCCACCCCAGCCGCATCCCGCAGTGCTTCTCCAGCCCCGTCCGCCTCCCTCATCGCCAACGCTGGAAGCAACCTCGTTCTCGACCTGAACACCTTCCTTTCCCTGTCTGAGGGGTCGCAGCGTGAAGTACTCGATGAGCCGAAGGACCAGACGAACAATCCCAACTACAATGGTAAAATGACTCTGGGCGTTGCGGGTCTCAACAGCAGCGAAATAATCGTCCTCGAAGAGAAGCTCCCTGGAACGAGCGGAGACTGGGTTTCTGAAGCCTCCAAGCAGACACTTAATCGTCTTGGGGTGCCATCCGGTGACCTGAAGAACGGAGCGCCCGCAAAGGTGAAGACCAAGAGTCCTGCTACCAGCGGGCGATCGTCTCCGGTTTCAGAGCCCATCAGGGGACGACGCAAGGACGGGAAACCCCGCGGCTGCACTGGTCTGAGCAACCTTGGGAACACCTGTTACATGAACTCGGCCCTGCAGTGCGTTCGCAGCGTGGAGGAATTGACCTACTATTTCTTGAGTGCGTAGACTCCCGAACTTTGAAAGTTTACCCTGCTAACTATCTATCTAGATGACGTTTACAAGAAGGATCTCAACCCCAGCAATCCTCTGGCTCACAACGGTGATGTTGCTAAAGCATATGCGAACATGTTGCGTCAGATGTACGATGAGGCAGGTCAATCTTCGTTTGCGCCCCGTCAACTGAAGCACACCATCGGCCGTTATGGACCGGCCTTCTCCGGTTACGGACAGCAGGATTCCCAGGAATTCCTTCTGTTCCTTCTGGACGGTCTCCAGGAGGATCTCAACCGTATCATGAAGAAGCCCTACATTGAAAAGCCGGACTCGACGGACGAGATGGTGCATAACAAGGAGGCTCTCGCGGAGTTTGCGGACAAGTGCTGGGACATCTACAAAGCCCGCAACGATTCCGTCATTACCGACCTCTTTGCTGGTATGTACAAGTCGACGCTGGTCTGCCCTGCTTGCGACAAGGTCAGCATCATTTTCGACCCTTTCAACAACCTGACCCTTCAGCTTCCAATCGAGAACCTCTGGGGCAAGGAGATTTTCTACTTCCCCTTGAACAAGAAGCCGGTCCTTGTCGATGTCGAAATCGACAAGAACGCCAGTGTCAAGGCGCTGAAGGAGCAGGTCGCAAAGAAAATGGGAACCGACCCTGAGCGCCTCGTGATGGCCGAGATCTACAAGAACAAGTTCTACAAGATGTTCGACAACACGAGCTCGATTGCTGAGTGCCAGATCAGCGGCAACGACGACATTGGTATCTACGAGGTCGAGTCGGTACCTACGAACTACAACCCCGACAAGCCCCAGAAGAGCTATTTCTCCTTCAGCCGCTCGGATCATGAGGAGATCCCCAGTCTGGACTCGCCTCGCTCCGACCGCTTGCTCGTCCCCATCTTCAATCGAGTCGAGAAGAAACGGGGAAACAACCCTAAGAATGCGCAGCGGTCGCTCTTCGGAGTTCCGTCGTATGTGGTCATCAACCGGGAGGAGTTTGGGGACTATGATACGATCTTCCGCAAAGTCCTGTCGCAGGTCGCCTCGATGACCACCCGTGACTTCCTGAATGAGGAGAACACGACAGAGGTCAGCCATGAAGACTCAGATACCGTTATAATGAACGAGGATGATGCGGAGTCGGCTGACTCGAAGATCAAGACCGCGTCCGTGGACGGCGAGGACGGCATGGTCGATGTCTCGATGCGTGACGCAGATGACAGTTCAAGCGATGCTCCAGCCCGCTCCGAAAACGCTATTCCCCCGAATGTGCGCGGCCTTTTTGAGATGAAGATCATCAAGTCGAGCAGCGAGGTTGTTCCCACTGGATGGTCCACCGTGGATGACCACAAGGAGTACCCCAAGATGTCGTTCAGAATAAAGACACCGGTGAAGAAGCAGAAACAGGTGAGCAGTCTCCTCTCTTTTCAAAGCGAATCACTACTAAGCGATGGACAGTCTGTGGACAGCACAAATGGAACGGAGCAGAAGGATGACGAGTCCGGAGATAAGAGCTCCGACAGCGCCAGTGGTGAATCGGCTCCCAAGCCCAAGGCTCAGGACCGGCCGATGATCCGCCCCGGTGAGGGTATCGTCGTGGACTGGACTGAGCAAGCTCACGACGCTCTCTTCGCCGGAAGCAGTCGAGACAAGAACTCCCTTCGTGGTGCGCCGACATGGACGGACGTCGAACGTGTGCCTGACCCGGAGCTGAGCAAGCGCCGTACTCTGCGTCAGAACCGGAAGAAGCGGGGCGTGACGCTCTACGAGTGTCTGGATGAGTTCAACAAGGAGGAGGTCCTTTCCGAGAACGATGCTTGGTACTGCCCCCGCTGCAAGGAGCACCGTCGGGCCAGCAAGAAGTTCGAATTGTGGAAGACCCCGGACATTCTGGTCATGCACCTCAAGAGGTTCAGCGCCAGCCGCGGATTCCGCGACAAGCTGGATGTCCTGGTCGACTTCCCTGTGGAAGGACTCGATATGACCGGCAGAGTTGAGTCGCCTGAAGAGGGCAAGAGTCAGATCTACGACCTCTTCGCTGTCGACAATCACTATGGAGGCCTTGGTGGCGGACACTACACAGCGTACGCCAAGAACTTCTTTACCGGACAGTGGAACGAGTACAATGGTAAGATAGCCTGAAACGCAGAATATCGGACAATTACTAACTGGACTAGATTCTTCCGTCTCGCGACCAATTGATCCGCAGAGTGTGGTCACCTCGTCGGCGTATCTGCTGTTCTACCGGCGCCGGTCCGACCGGCCGCTGGGCGGCAAGGTGCTGGAGGAGATCACGGAAGCGTCAACACGGCCGAACAGCGACGTGGACTCGCAGTCCGAGTCTCGCGGACAGTCGCCGTCGGGGGAAGGCCGGCGTCTCGGCGGCTCCTCCCGCAATGGGTCGTCGAGCGCCTTAACCGGAGTCGGAGCAGCTCACCAATCGGGAGATGGTGGTTTGCCAACTGGAACCCAAACGAAGAGCGGGGATGATGACTGGCCGCCGGGCTACACCAACGTCCCGTCATTTGGCGAGCAGAGCCTAGATCGCGCGACGCAATCGGAAGGTATGAATTTCGAAGATGAGGAGATTGGCGGGGGCACGCAGCCCAGCCCGTTCCGCCCTCAGGACGACACACCCTCGTGGTCGTTCAGTCGCGCCACAGATGCTCACGGCCCTTCACAGATGACCACAGTTCCAACTGACGACGAGGATCTACTCGACGATGACGCGAGCAACCGGGCGGTAGACGACGGCGACGTCAGCGACCCGGACCTTCGGATGGCCTCTTTGATGGACAGTCCACGCGGGGCCGCCTATCCAGGTACCCCGATGGAGGAGACGTCATTCCCGGACATTTCGGCATTCGCAGCGGACGGCGACGATGATGAGGAGGATGAGTTGCCGGTGGTAGAACTCCAAGTGCATGATGAGGACCAGACACTGCCGTAGACAGGGGGATGATTCTCCCAATCTCTCTTATTGTCTTTTGGAAATGTGCAACGAATGATTACAGGTGTTTAGATCGCCCCACGGGGGATGGCGATAATGATCTTTCGCAGAGTGGATGATGATTTCGAGGAATGAAGTCGACGACCCTTATAATAGCCATGGTGTTTTGTTTTCTACGCAGCCCGGGAATAGAGAGGGCCGTGGATGGTTGCATGCATTTTTACGGGATCGGATGGCGGGTGCCGTCCTGCATTACATGTATTTTCGGAGCAGCTGGAGATGTACTAAGCAAAAAAGGTGTGTTGAGTGAGATGATGTTTTGCAGAGGAGGATGATATGGGGATGATGAGTGTGTATGGATGAACCACGTGGGAGGTCATGGCGAGTCACACGCATGTGGCCGCTGTCATGCGATGCTGCAGATGCGAGGCTACTGCTAAATATATACTACTACTTTCATACCAGCCAGGCCATAGAATTTAAGTTATGTGGTCTTTCATGTTGTTCGTATACTTGGTCATTAAATGTCTTGTCATCGGATGCAATCTTGACAAACTAGGGGATAGAAGTGAGGTCAATCACAGTAAAGTGTTAGTAGTTATTACTACTGACAGCCTCACCTGCCTAATCCGTTCTCTCACTCATATCCATCTGTCAATCTATCTGCTCTACTCAGACTTTCTTCCTGCTTACCTTACCTTTCTACTGTTCTGTCTACTTAATCCCCCAGCAGACACTGCAGTCATCAGACAGACACCTTCAACACTCGTCATCTCCTCCTTCACATCCAACCTATATACCTCTTTCTTCTCACCTCAACCTCAACCAATACATCCCAAACTAAACCCAACCCAACCCACCACACTCTCAAACCAAATCCAAAATGCATCCACCAATGACTTCCTCCCGAGAAGCACAGAAAACCAAAAATACCCCCAACGGATCCGCATCAACCCACACCACGAACGCGAGAAGAAAACCCCTGATGGATTTCTCATCTCTTCATCCGTGCTCTGCTTCGATGGATGATGAGGAAGATGAAGATGAAGATAGTATGCAATCATCGTACGCAGAAATGGGATCGTTCGTGGGAGTACACTCGACCGAGCATTCACATTCACATTCTCATCCGTTGTCATTGTCGTCGTCGGCTTCGACTCCTACTCAGACGCAGAGGTACACTCAGTATCAGCCCTGCAAGCAACCTAACTCGAGGTCCATTTCTTTGGGAAGTGAATCTACCCCCACATCAACCACTACAGCCATCACTACCAGATTGAAATCGAAATCGAAAGCGAAAGCGAAGTCTACGACTGCACACGTCCACTTCCTGGACCAGATTGATATCTCAGATACAATCACCACTACTTCTGCAGCTACAAACACAAACACGAAGGGAAACAAAAGCACAGAAGCAAATGGAATCACAGCTGAAGAAAAGACCATGCCTCTTGGTCCTCGCAGTCGGGATCTCTCTCTTAGTGAGAGTGAGATTAGTTTGCTGGATATAGGTCCCAGTTTGGTGTATGGTGATGATGGATATATTCCGTTGTCTGGGGTTGGATCATATGTGCGTGGATATGAGCGTGGGCATGGGCATGGGCAGGGTGATGGTGGTGGTGGTGGAGTTTCGGTGGTGGGGAGGGGGGTGCAGGGGTTGCATTTGGAGTGAGGAGTGAGGAGGGTGGTTTGTTGTAGATGGAGTTCATGGTCTCTTACTCGATTTGGTGTGTGGGATAGAGGAGTTATTCCTGTTGTTAGAATAGTGTAAAGTATTTCCTTTTCCTTCTGCTTGTTCTCGCTTCTTTGTACTATGGACATGAATATCCTGTAATTCTAATACTTCATGAATATTAAATACATTATATTCTATATACTCTAACTGAATCTATACATGAGTCTGAATAGTTCTCACTCCAATCCTCACATACTCACAGTGGAACCGGCCACCCATCCACATACGTCAAATAATTATATCCTAGCCGCGCTTCCTAAACCTCACACCATTAGCCCACATCAAACCACCATCTCAGAAAACTGAATAGTCAAACATACCTTGAACTCATACCCTACAGATTTATTCACTACCACACAAAAGTTAGCACCACCATCCATCTCTCATATTTGAAGGAATAAATGAGAGAAAGGCAAGGGATCCTCACAATAGTGATAATAAAGCACATCCCCCTCCACCTCCCCACTCAACACGCCCTGACCTCCAGGCGCATAAACATCTCCATTCGAGCCATACACAATCTCCCCTCCACCATCCACGAGATCTCTCCCTTGTTTATCCACGAATGGTCCCTGAGGGGAAGGTGAGCGTCCGACGCGAATGCTGTATCTATTCCATTCATACCATCATCATGATCAGTATATTACTCCTTTTCCAGCCACTCAATAATGACAAATAACAGGGGCGGGGGAGGGGAAGGGGAGGGGAAAGAACATACTCCATCCCAGCTTTGGGCAACTTCTCCGAATCGAAATGGCAACACTTCCCCCAACTAAACCACAAATACCACCATGGTTCATGATAGGATAAAAACGCCCCTTCGACGGGATGCATGCCCGTTGTATCGCCACATAATCCATCGGCTTTTTTGGTGGGTGGGTGGATGGCTGCGGGTTCATGGGCTAGATGTTTAACCCTTTCTTCTTCGTTGCCTTGTTTGTCCATATGAAGCAGGTTAGGCTTTAGCGGGACTTGCCATATCCCTGTCCAGAAACTGCCGAAGGTCATGTATCCTTTTCCTTTCGCTTTCTTGTCACCACCTTCTTGGAGAGATGGCTCTCCTTCGGAGAGTTCGGATGCAGTATAATCAACAACAACACTAACATCAATCGCATTCGCCCTATCAAAGGGAAACTCCTTCCCCCGTTCCCCCCGGCCGGAGATCGCTATCGCGCCGTGATCGACCCAGTCTCCAGGGCCCGGGGTGGATGAGGTGGCTACGCCGATGGCGCTATCGCGACATCCGCTATGGCTCGTCGCGTAGAAGACGTAGAATGTGCCGTCGTGGAGGAGAGCGGTCGGTGCCCAGGGGGCTTTGCGATCACCTTTTGGCAGGATGCTATCTGCGTCGAGGACAGTGCCGGCTTTGGTCCATGGGCCTTGGAGGGTCGGGGCGGAGTGGATGGGGATGTGAGGGCCGGAGCCGTAGGCGTAGTAGGTGTTTGTGGGGAGGTCGTAGAGGATGCTGGGGTCGTGGATGTGAAGGGGTGGGATGGTGGGGTTGGTTGGGGGGTAGCCGTAGATGGACTTGTATGTGTCTTCTGGGGAAGGGGGAGGGAGGTCTGGGGATTCTGGGAGTTCGGGGGGTTGGGGGATGGTGGAGGGTTGGAAGTGGATGTAGAGGGCGTAGAGGAGGATGGAGAAGAAGGTGAGGAGGGAGAGGGATTTGATGATGCGACGGAGGGTGGATGGGGATGGGGAGATGGAGTTAGTGCTGGTGGAATCTTTGGGGTTGGGGATGAAGGTCCATAGTTGGGACCAGTTGGGGGTCATTGTGTGATTATGGGATGGTGGTTCATTGCTTGCTTGCTTGTTTCTTTGGTGGCGGGATTGATGTGTGGATGCTCAGTGCATGTGGAAATGCCAACTGGTGAGTATGTTGCAATTCGGGATAGTGATGATGCGATGTTCAAGATATAGATTGAAAAGAGGGGTATTGCAGCACCCTGTATCCTGGCAAGTGACACTCGACACTTCAGTTATTTGTGGCCGGTTATCATGAATAGATGATGGTAGGTCTTGGCGAACCCCTTCCTGATATTTTTGATCTACATATCCAATTAGTATCACTCCTGTGCTGTTACGGGGAACGACTCACATAGCTGATGCTGGGAACACTGCAAAGCCAGCTGCATAACAAGAGCAGTCAGCGCTAGCGAGATGGACGGGGGAAGGGAGTTCAATAAATATCAGGAAGAATTGGCCTGTCCGTTCGGCGATGATCGTCGATCCGGCCCCAATAAAGCGACGAGCCAATCAGCGGGACGGCATGTGATGCCGTCTCAGCTAAAGTGAGGTGCGAGGATCACCATTGCTTGGTGGTTACACATCTACAGTGACTAGTTTAGGTAGCTACGATCATTTTCGCTAGGATTATGACATATAAATCATGGCAGTTCAAGTAGCCGGAACATCATTATACGCATCAATAGCATACAGGGTACTGGGATCAACGCATGTCTTATCCAGCTCATAGCCGACATTACAATTGGCAGCTGGAAGTCATGCTAAGCACAAACCAACGCCCTCGCTCCATACCCTTGGCAATAGATAGATATCCTACCTCACTACAATCTTGTCCACCTCATCTTTCGCCTCCGTCCACGTCTCCAGGTTCTTACGTGCCCAATCCAGATGGCATCGTGCATATGCGACCTATCCAGTCAGCTTGATTCCCCCAAGAAAACAGCAGTATGAACTTACCATGTACCGCCGGAGATCCATCTCCTTGTCCTTCTGGAACCGCTTCAGATCCTGCAACACTCCCGCACTGGCATCCTTGACATCCTTCTCGGACACCCCAAGAGCCTGCTCCAACTGCACCAAACTTTCTTTCGTCTTGCCGATCTGGTCGCGGCGGGTCCGCTCCGGATCAACATCCACAAAGCCGTGCACCGCGTGGCTGATCCGACCGAAGATCTTGTTCGCCACAAACGTCCCACTCGACGTCTTGCGATGCGCCGGAGATGCACCGCCAAAGTCTGGCCGCCGCTGTGCTGCCGGAGGTGGATGGGAGTTGATGGAATCACCGTGCGTAGGAGGGAATTCCGAGTCGACTGATGCACCGTCTTCAGAACCAGCTGGACGGGCCTCGCCCTCGGAGCCTCCTGGCGCACTGACGGCCGACGATGCGGACAGAGACCGCTGTGTTCTCGTGGCCCCGCCTGGAGGCGAAGTCCGATTGAGGTACTGCTCAATGCGTTTCGCTTCCATTTCACTGCGCTCCAAAGAGTCGAGCAGTGTCTTCTTCTTAGCCAGCTCGTCTCGCGTCATCTCTTCCTGCACTCGCTTGAGGACCCGATAGCGCAGAACACTGCGCACAACGCTGGCAAACTGGGCGCTTTCCCTCATCGGTTCCGCGAAACTGGCACTCAGTTGTGACGACAGCTCCTCCGTCTCGATGTAGGAGGTATCAGCGGCTTGGCCAACCCGTTCGATGGCTGCTGCAACGGTCGGCGACGGCTCCGACAGGGAAAATCCGTTATACCGTGCTCCCAGCTCCATCAGATCGGCTGACAAAGACGATAGGTGGGCCAACGTGCGACGGTTGACCTTTTCAATGTTCCCTTGCAAAAGTAGCTCCAACTCACGTGTAGACGCCTCGAAATTGATAAAGTATGGGTCGAGTTCCTTTTCACTCAGCTTCCGTGACTCTGGTGGGAAGCGACCAAGAACATCAGGCCCAGGTGTTTCTGGAGCAGGCGCAGGAGCAGGCGTAGCGCCTCCTGCAGACTTCAGCTTCGCGGATGATGATGGGACTGGGAGCCAGGCATGAGCGGGGGTAGGATTGGCGGGGTCAAGTGGGGGAGCCTTGAGATTATTCTTCGGCACAGACGATGCAGGATGGGAGTGTAGGACCTCGCTCTGAATGAAGTCAGTATACCACAGCTAGAGTCGAGCTATCATACACCTACCCAGCTAACGTTGGGGTCCAAAAACCGCCACCAAACTCCATCCTCACGGACCTCCTTCATCCGGCGACAACGATTCAAGAAGACAGCCAGCATGCGTTTGCGGAGGTCGATTATGGCGGTGTCTTCCTTAGCCTTGGTGGGCTTGGCGGCATAATCGGCCATGGTATGTTTCTCGGGAATAGGCGGGATGACGAGGGTGGGATGAAGGTTGACAAGGGTTTGTCGCAGCGACGCGAACTCAGAATACCGTCTGCGGACCTCCAGATCCTAGAAATAATTAGCACAAGTGTTGATGCAGCTTCGATTATCATTCTGACATACTCCAGTGCGTATTGTGTACACAATGAAGCTGCCGCCGCCCTCGTGGTTCTTCCCAGCGTCTGTGATGAGGATCGGCATCTCCGGGTTTTCATAAAGAATCTGCTCTATCCGACTATCATATACACTCTTGCGAAGGTAGCCATGGCCAGCAGGTTGGGCAGCATAGTCTGGAGCGTCGTCTTCGTCACTGAGGTCCTGTTGCTGTGAGAGGAAGTCCGGGGGATTGTCGGTGGATGATCGGCTGGAAGGAGAGGGAGGGGTATATTCGCGGTCATAGAGAGCTGCAAAGATTAGAAAATACAGCTGGATAATTGATGGTCGGAGATGGAGATTGACAGCTTACTGGGAGAAAGGGTGGCCGAATGCAGCGACTCGGAGAGATGCGCCTCGTTATCGAATGCGCCGTACGGGTTGTTATCCTCGTCGTTCCACATGGCGTCGGGGGGCTGATGGAGCAGCCTAGATACTGAGAGAGAGTGTGTGACAGATCAAATCATGAATCAGACAGGAGGATTAGAAAGCAGAGGCTAAGTTCACGAGACTAAGGGACAGAAACAGGGAGGACAGGAGGAGGGAATGAGCTGGGGAATCCCGAAGGCATCGCCGGCTCTCTCGCGGGGATCAACGTCACCGCCTCGGGCGGCCGGCAGCGACCATCTCCGTCGCCTTAAATAGAACTATCAATGCTACACTCCACTCCCACTTTACTCAACTTATTCCACAGCACTCCCCCTACCATCCACCCTCTGGTTCTGCAGGCTCCTCGTGTGTCTCCTCATTCGCCTGCTGCAATGCCGCCGTCAACGCATCAGGATCCACTCCTCCATGCTGCTGCTGGAAACCTTGCGTATCATAGGCGCCCCCTCTATTAGATGCAGGCTTGCTCTCAGCTTGCCAGCTCTTCTTTGAACCGCGCTTGACACCTCCAGACGCAACAAATGGCGGATCGGGCGGTAGTGCCCATTCCTTATCTGAAGCCGCCTTACTAGGAGGTTGAGCTTGAGGTTCAGCCTCCCACTCGTCCCGCGACGGAGGCTTAGTCGGTACTTTAGCAGCCGGAGTCGGAGCAGCAGGCGTCCCATGTTTACCGGGAGTACGCTTGCTACCACGGGATGGAGGTGCAGGGCCCCATTCCTCCGGCGTTGGGGGTTTGTTGCTACGTGCCGGAGGTACAGAAGGCCACTCCTGCCTCGACGGCTGATTGTCATGACGGATTGAATTACCACCGTGAGCGGGTGGGAGAGGTCGGGGTGGCGGAGGTGGAGTTGGAGGTGGTGGTGGTCGCCGTGGAGGTGCAGGAGTCTTCTGTCTGCTGGGTTGAGCCGGCGTTCTTCCGCCTTCTTTCCAGTTTCTCTTTGCGCCTCGCTCTGCGAGCTCTGTCTTCTTGACGGTCGTTTCGCGTTGGCCCGTCCGAGATCGCTGGAAGCGGTCGTTGTGGTAGCCGGCGCGGAGGCTATGTCGCCACCAGAGAGTGCAGAGACAGACCACCACTGCGATGAAGAAGACCATGGCGGCTAGGACCACCACGATTACAACGTTAGGTGACATGTTTCGTTAGGCTAACCAGCTATGTAAGTAGTGTTGTGGCTCGTAGGGAGATGGACTCATGCCTTCACTGGTCATGTCAATCTCGAACTATGAAAGGTAAGAGTAGACGACGCGTCGCACCAACATACGGCGGTGATATCGAGAGGTGTAAGTGGCAGATGAGCGTAAACGAGTCGCCCGATGCTGTGCCAGTGAATGTATTGTCTGCTGATGTAGTGATTGTTTGTACTCCAAGAAGAAACCGTTTAACTCTAGTAACATAACGTAAATTCATCTCTATACTTTTCTCTATGCAAATTCATCGATCATGACAATTCCAAGGCAGCCTGTATCCGTGAGACCCAATCATCATGCAACAAAGACGCCTCGCCAGAAGCAAGCAGCGCCTGAAGCTTCCCCTTCAACAAAGCAACCTGTTCCTGACTCAAAAGTCTCGACGCCGCAGAATCCTTCGAGATCACAGCACCCGCGACACTGAAAACCCGCACACCCAGAGTGAACGTTTCAGGCTTCGAGGCCCAGCCCAGAAGCCCATCCTTTTCAGTTTCCTTTGCAAGAATCTCCTCAAGAGAGGCCAGTCCTTTAGACACCCAATTGAAAAGTGCGTTGAGCGAGCCCTCATCGTAGGAAGATTCGTTCAGCTGACGCAACCTCGCGGACCAAACGTCTACTTCGCGAACTTCGTCGATGAAGAGGTTCTGCTTTTCTTCTTCAAAGAGAATTGTGCTTTCCTTTCGGAGCTCAGAAAGACGGCCGAGGAAGGAAACGAACTTAGGGGTGGCGCTGCTAAGTCTAGGCTCCTGGTCGGCGATGTACGCCATGGTTCGCTGGCAGAGGAGGCGTGAGCTGGCGTAGTTCTCGGCAATGAACTTCGAAAGGAGCTCGCTTGCGTTCAGAGGAGATAGCGCAACTGCCTTTGTTGGAGAGACAGAGGAGCATGACAGGACCCAGGAGGCGGTCGATGCGGCAAGATCGCGCAGTTCCTCATCGTCGTCATTGAGCATGTCGTAGAGAACAAGGTAGATCTCCAACAAGACACTGTCGGTGCGAGGGGGGCTGCCAGCAGGGCGCAGGATGCGCGCGAACCCCGTGACGGATGATACGGCAGCCAGGCGCGTGGTGAATTCCTGTGAGGTGTTAGCAAGGCTTGATATGACGTAGAAATGCGCTGAACGTACTGTCTCCTCTTGCATGGCGGACTGGAGCCGTGTGGCCCATTCCAGGATGTCCAGCTCTGAGCTCTGGCCACCGGAGATCGTCTTCAGGGCAAGAAGACATCCCTCAAGAACCAATTCGGCGTCCGATCGGTCCCTGTTCCATATGTGCTCGGTAGAAGCGTGCTTGAGGTGCTTTTCCAAGGCTTCCCATGAAAGGTCGATTTGAGAGACAGTGTCATTGTGGAAGTCGAGGACAAACGACAGAGCAGATGCCAGGCATGTAATCGCCACTGCTTTGACTTCCTCTGGATAAGCGCCAAGGATAACGGTATAATAAAGGTCAACCAGAGCTCGTCTGTACTGGACACGCTCGCCGAGGATCTCCTGGATGCGCTCCAACAACCATTGACCAGCATTGGGGTCGAAGCGCGAAATATCTCCAAGAAGTGGCTCAACTTCGGACAATTTGTTCGTAATGAACATCTGCAGGACAGTAACCCACGAGATGGCCCGACGGAGAAGAGAGGGAGCGCGTGTGGTGCTCAGGGTCTTCCAAGAAGGATGCGAAGAATCGAACAGGAACTCCCGGATGGCGGCGAAAGAATAAGTTTCGGAGAGATAGTTGAGCGTCGAAGCCATTTGTCCTGCATCTGTTAGCGCGTGTCATCGCGAGTTGAATTTGACTTACCTTCCGCTCCTGATTCTATGCACTTTTCAATGACATCGCCGAGAACCTCCAGCAGAATACTGGCCACGAACGGGGACTCCGCAAACGGGAAGGATGCAGCAAAGACGTCTTTCAGGGTCGACAATACCTCATCAACGTGCTCTGGGAAATATTAGCAAGGACAAAACACCGCCTGTGAGTTACGAGCATACCATTCCAAAAAGAGAGAGAGCTCGAGGCATATCTCCTAAGAGAGTACTTGATGCAAAGGGCTTCTCCGTGGAGGTAGTCTTGGGTCTTCGTGTCTCTCTTGTCATCCAACAACGCCTTGATGCTGGTCAGAACATCCGAACGGTTCAGCAACGAAGCATACACTCGGGCTGCATGTTCTCTGATACCCCACACTGGACTCTTGAACTGTTCTCTGACAAGTCTACGAAGCACATCGTCATCAACTCCGGTGACGTTGGGGACCTTCTCTGCGATGAGCTCCAAGGCCGGGAAAACACGCTCGGTAACCATAGCGTTATCACCGTCATCAGCGTTGCTCTGGTCCGACGGGCTGAGAAGGGTCGGCAGGAGTTCAAACAGGCCAGGATACTTCTGGAAGGAGACTCTGGCACCTGGTTCTGAGCCGGAAGCTCCACCGAATCCTAGTCCAGTACCGGTGCGGCACATGCGCGTCAACAACGCACGGAACAGCATCAGCCCGGAGTTACGGAGGGCCCATCTAGAATAGTCAGCATGGAGAAAGACGCAGCCGTATGTAGTACTTACATAGGCGACCCCAGCCGTTCAGCCGAGAGCCTCAAGGCAGGCATGATGAAAGGCTCCGTGTGGGGCCCAAGCTTGTTATTGGTAAAGATGTCTTTCAGGCAGTTCATTGCGTGCACCTGTGGCAGTGGTACATCTTGTCTCGACTTATCATGTTCCGCGGGCAGGTGAGAGATGTCATGCAGCTCATTGATGACAGTTTGGAAGAGCGGACCGCCAGGCTTTGACGAAAGGATACCGACAATCAAAGCAGGGAGACCAGCTGAGCGACGTGTAAGCTTCGAGGCGGACTCGAAGATGATTTTCTTCGCTTCCTGTACAATTGTGAGCTTTGATCGTTTTGTCAAGACGGGGTCCTTACCTGGTACCACCGACTAGGCAGTGCGGAAATCTCCTCGCTGGTCGACTGTCCGCACCGCTGGCAGCAAGTAGCAAATGTCTGCGACACGGTAGAGAAGGCACCTCTGTGCCGGAGTTCAGCAAGTTGGATGAAGCTGAGTGTTCCGATTTTCTCAAAATGGTCGACCGTCAATCCAGACTCGCCTTGCGGGCCGTACGTTTTGTTGGAAAGTGAGGCATGCAGGAGAAGACTACGAAATTAGTAAGAACATTCAATCCAGCGCAAGACGCAACACACCTTGATTCGCGAAGAGCACGCCATGAGTAAGACAAAATATCCTTAGGACCGACACCAAGCTCCTCAATGGGCTCATCCGTATGGCCTTCCGGCGAGTCGATGCAAAGAACAGGCTTAACCTCGTTCCAAATCTTGTCGCAGACTTGCACGATCCTGAGATGAATAGCCTTCCAATTTTCATATGATGATTCCTTGCTGGAAACAAACGAGTAGAAATTGGGGGTCGCAACAATGTACCTGGTTTCTGTTAGCTCCGCGGCGGACGAATGAAACATTGTAATTACCTCAAAGCGGATACATATCCATGCAAAGGTGCGTCACGCATAGAAGAGTTAAACAGGCCGCCGGCAAGGGAGAGCTTTTGCTCCAACTTCTTCAGAAGGGTATCGACAACCATGGACTTGTTCTCCCACCAGCGTGCAGCGTCACTTGCACCATCCACGGCGGCTGCGCGGAAGAGGATATGGTATAGACGAGCAACGGTGTCTGCAAAGTCAGCTCTGCTGGTGTTGCTTGCCAGTTGTTCGGCCTTTGCGAGACCTTCAATGATTTGTGGCACGCCAGCTTGCTTGTCGTTGTCGAATAGAACCTCCCGTGGGAAGAGGTTCAGAATGTAAAGCGAAGTAGCGCGTACCTCCTCGAATGGATCGAGCAGAAGATCTACCAGCAGTCTCAGCAAAGTAGGCTCAAACACCTCCACGTTAGAGAGCCACTTTGTCTTAACACCGTCCGTCGGATTGAGTCGAGAATCGAGACCGGATTGGAGGAGGAGTATCAAGGTCTTCAGCGCGGAAACGTGGCGTGGGTAAGAAGCCGTGGGGCGCAGGTCCGCCTTCAAGAAATCCACGTACTGTTGCATACACGCCCGAGTGGTGGTGTCGTTCCGAGCAAGCTTGGGCTGCTGCTTTTTGTTCGCTGGGGCTTTCTGCTCAGTCAGGCCGTCCTGATCCTCCAAGAGTCCTCCCTTGAGTCGGATTATCAATTTGCGAATCAGACTCAAGATCTCGCCTCTTGAATAAGAGTCCGACTCGGTGTGCATAGACGGCAGTCCGCTAAGAATAGCGTTCATTGTTGCTGAAGACACTGGCCTTGTCGTGGAGGGCGCAGTGATCAGCAGGGAAAGTGTCGCGATTCTGATAGTGATATCGCGATGGAAGAGGAACTGGCCGATGGTTTCGCTCTTCAAGACAAGAACATTTTCGTCGTTGGCCCCAGCCTTGGGGATATAATCTGGCGAAGGTAAGTCCATTGCTCGGCCCACTATACAGCGCTACTTACGATCTTCGTGAATGAGCCCGATTTTCTTGGCGATTTGCAACGAAGCAAACAATAGCATGAACTCCGCCAGCGGGGCATCGCTCATATCGCCAGCCAGAAGACTGCTCAGGGGTAGCCGCTCAATGAACGACTTGAAGCCAGCCGGATCAGTCGCGAACGACGGCTGGAGAACATAGTTGGACATATACTCCAGGTTATCCAGGTTGCGCAACGACACATGACGAACGGGCGCCACCCAAACAGACTTCAAGTCCTGAGCATCAGGCGAAGCCTTCACTCTCTGGAGGAATGCCGCCAAAGTGTCACCTGAAGAGGCAGCAAGCTCCGCTTTGGTAGCGCGAGCCAACATTCCCAGGACCAGAATCTGAGCTGCTATCTGGTACGTCTCTCTTCCGGAACCCTTCTGAAGATACTGGGAGAAATCGATAGACAGAGCTTTGCAGTCCTCCTTGAAAAGCGCCGTCCACTGTTCGTAGTGATCTACAAGCCACTGGTCCGTCACTGAGACCAGCTCTAACGGCGTGATGGCACTCTTGCGCAGCAGCATCTCCAACGAGGCGAAAGAAGCCTTCAGTCGAGCGCGAGGCTCGCCAAGGATGATGCTAGGGATCGTAGCCTCAACGATCTTCTGGCGGAGCGCGGACCGGTCAATCTCTTTACGAGTCTTGGCCAACAGGGCAACCAGCGACTCCAGCACCTGCTTCATCGGCTTGGGCTTGACATCCTTGTATCGGGTCATGAAGACCTCGAATACAGATAACCAAGTTTCATCGGAGCGGGCTAGCTGCCTCGTTTCCTCACAGGTGGAGGTCCGCGCAGCGTCCAAAAAGGCACTGATTGCATTACACGCAGCAGTAGTGTGCGGATGAGAAAGAGAAGCCGTAGAATATGTCTTCAGTAGCGACTGGAAGACTCGGCTCACTTTCCTTTGGAAATAGTCAGAATAGATTCATATTAAAAGCCACTTGCGCACACAACAGACAACTTGATAAGCAAATATTTGGAAACACTCTTACTCAATATCTTCACAAGAATTGGTGAACTTCACCAGCGGGCCTTTCCCAATGCGCACGAGGGTCTCCTCGGGCAAAAGTTCTATATTCCGCGATACTTGCTCCATTTCTGATAGTGGGAGCCCGGCATCCCCGGGGGGGCCAGACGCAGGATTACCGACCATACTTTTAGTATTCTTACAAGTACAGCATGGCAACCTTCAACGAGTGGGTTCAGATATCAACCATTTACAAGAGAAAAGAAAAAAACCCAAGCACGAGCCCGCCCCCGCGTTTCCAATCGCGACTTTTGCCTCTTGTGGATTTTCGAGAGCGGGTCTCCGAATCGGGTTAGTGCCGGGACAACAATAATCCCTGTAAGCTCGGCCCAAACGGGAAATGTTCGATAAACTGCCGGCCCGGAAATTCTGGCAGAAAGCTGGACCAAGTCACGGGGCTGAAGTTTTTGTTTCTCGGCCTGGAATTATTACTGTCACCTTCTTTGCTCCGACGAAACCGCGCAGTCACCAGAACCTCAATCTCAATCCCTCCCCAAGCTCTCGGATTGTTCGCCAGTGTTCTGATCTCCTCCTCTTTTCCTTTTCCTTTTTCTCCTTTCCCTTTTCTCTCTCTATTCTCCTATCTGTATTCATATTCTCCATAACCTGTTTAATAAATTCACCCACACCTTCCCGCCAAATCAACAACCTCACTATTCAACATGTCGAACATCTGGGACTCCATCACCGGTCGCAAACAATCCAAGGGCTCCGAGGCCACCGCATCAGCACCAGATGCTACCAGCTTCCTAGCCGATCTTCCCGACCCCTCTCAGCTCCATCCCCTCGCCGGCCTGAACCAAGATACCCTCGACTACATCACCCTCGAAGACTCCGCGCTCGACCAAACACCCGGATCGCGCTCTGTGCTGCCCTCCCGTGGATGGTCCGATGATCTCTGCTATGGAACAGGAACGACTTACCTTGCTGGTTTGACTCTCGGTGGTGCCTGGGGTCTGGCGGAGGGACTGAAGAAGACGCCCGTCACCGCTCCGCCGAAGATCCGCCTCAACGGTGCTCTCAACTCCATTACGAGACGAGGACCTTTCCTCGGTAACTCGGCTGGTGTGGTCGCGATGGTCTACAACGGGTTTAACTCCGGTCTGGGCTACGCGAGGGGTAAGCACGATGCTGCTAACAGCATTGTGGCGGGTGCGTTGAGTGGAATGGTCTTCAAGAGCACGAGGGGTCTTAAGCCTATGGTGATTTCGGGTGGTATCGTTGCTGGCATTGCTGGTGGTTGGACTGTAAGCCTACTCCTGCCCCCTTCGTTTGATTATTTCCTCCTTGAACATATGAGTAACATGTTATGTCTTAACAGGTCCTGAGCAAGGCTATCCTGTAAACGCCAACAGCCGCCAATTCCCTCATAACTGTATTTTAGCCCTCGACTCGATACCTCGACCCGAGTCAATCCACCTGATCCGTCCACGCGTTTCGGAATCCCCATATGATTGTATGGTATATGGCCTCTTCACCAAAGACGGAGTGAAGGAACATCAGCCCTGCCTGATATTCCACTCTCCGTTTTGTTTTGTTTTCTCGCTGTATTAGAACGGTTTCTCCTTATACTTTTATCCTCGTCGTCTCACACGCACACACACATCTTCCCTCTGGCGTACAAAGCATCGTTTGTCGCATTACTTTACAGTCCATGGGTTCGGAACCGGCATGGCAATGGGTTTTTATTCGTTACTTTTTTTATTAGTGTCTATCTTCTGTACATATAGCGTGAGTTCTCCTATGGGGTGTTGCAGGTTAGTCTTTTTCTTTGCTCGGCGAACCAGAAGAAAAGCCAGTATTGCAAAGCAGGAATGCTAGCTTCAGCTATCCTCAAGTTGAAACCTTAATGTGAAATTAGGGAGTAACAAATGAACAACAACTACCATTCAACCTACCATCGCAGTGACAGACCTTTAAAAGAACCCATACATCCCCCCATTTCCATTCCCACTCCAACTCCCACCCCCAGACTCCAACAACCTCACCACCCCTCCAAACCCCAACCCCTTCACCTCCTCCACCAACTTAACCCCGGACCTCCTCCCCAAATCCACCTTCACCCCAACCTCCATCACCAACAATCTCACCACGCCCTCATGTCCATTCCTCGCCGCAACCCTCAACGCCGTCATCCGCCTCACATCCATATGCTCAACATCCACATCCCCACCCCCAAGCCGGAACAACTCCCTCGCTACCTCCGTATGGCCCCGTTCCGCTGCAGCGATCAACGGCGTGCGGAGATACCGGTCCGGCGCATCGGGATACACCCCGCTTAAGAGAAGAAGTCGCACCATCTCGAGATGGTTGTTCTCCACTGCGTGGACAAGCAGCGGTGCACCCACTGTGCCCCCTGCTATCTGGGGTCGTAAGTGTGGGTTTGTGGCTGGGTGCGCGAGGAGGGCTTTGGCTATGGCTATGTGGCCGTGTTTGGCGGCGTGGGCGAGAGGTGTGTCGCCGTTGGCGTCGGGGAGGTTGGGGTTTATGTCTGGGTGGCGGAGGAGGAGGTGCGTTAGGGGGAGGTTGTTGGTTATGGTGGTGAGGATTAGGGGGGTGTATTGGTTCTCGGGGGATGTGGGTGGGGATGGGGAAGAGGATGGGTGGTTTATGTCCACGAGGGGATGGGAGAGGAGAAGGTCTGTGGCGATGAGGTTGTTCTGTACGATGGCGAGACATAGGGGTGTTGTGCCTTTGTGGTCTGGGAGTTGGGGGGAGATGGTGGGGGATTCGAGGAGCCAGATGATGGCTTGGGTGGATTTGTGGAGGATGGCGCAGTGGAGGGGGGTGAGGCCTTGGGTGGTTTGGAGGTTGGGGTTTATGGTGGTGATGGAGAGGAGGGATTCGAGGGCGAAGGTGGTGTTAGTGATGCAGGCGAGGTGGAGGGCTGTTGAGCCGGTGGTGTCTTGGGTGTTGAGGTGGTGGTCGGTGCTGTGGTTGAGGGCGGTATGGAAGACGGTATCGTTGTTCTTGATGATGGCGTGCATTAGGGGTGTTGTGTTTCTGTTGTCGGTGATGTCGTAGCGGGTTCGGGTGTCTTGTAGGAGTAGGTGGATGATTTGATGGTGGTTGTGCAGGACGGCGAGCATGAGAGGCGTGCGGCCTTGGGTGTCTGTGTGGTTGGGGTCTGTGAAGGGGAAGGTGAGGAGGAGCTTTAGGATGTCTATGCGGTTCTTGGTGACTGCTATGTGGAGGGATGCTTGGCCGTTGCTGTCTGGGATGTGTGGGTCGATGTGATGTCCGTTGTTTAGTAGTGTTCTCACGATGTCTGTCTGGCCGTGGGAGACTGCTATATTCAGGAGGTATTGCGACTGGTCGGGGGTGAAGAGGGAAATGTCACGTCTGCATTGCAGTAAGCTCACTACATCTGCGTGGTCGTTGTCTGCAGCTGCGAAGATTGAAGGGAGCCCTTGTGCATAGCGATTGACGTCGATATCAGGGCGCTTCAAGAGCATCCGGACAATACGGGCTTTGCCCTGGCTAGCAGCGACCATCAGTGGTGCTGGGATGTTGCCATTGCGTCCGGTGTCGTTCAGCTTGACTTTGCTGATCTGGAGAAGAAGACGAACGACTGGCTCGTGGCCTCCCTGGACAGCCGCTAACAAAGGCGATATATCATGACAGTCAGGGACACTGGGGTCACTCAGCCCGGAGTGGAGCAACAGCTCGACCACATTTGCTCTACCACTTCTTGCAGCCATGAACATTGCGGTCCTCTGCATAGGAGCAAGGATATTCGGCTTCGCCTTGTGCTCCAAGAGCATCCTCACCACTCGATCATGTCCTGCTGCAGCTGCTGCATTGAATGCACTTCCGAATGGGCCATAGGTAGACGTAGTCTGAGAAATCTGGACTCGCAAGCCCGGATCTGCCATCAACATCGTGTGGATGAACTGATCAGACCCTATGTAGGCTGCAAGCTGGAATGTGTCTCCGAAAGCGCCATCTCGTTTTCTCCTATTGACGCCGCGTAAGATGAGCTCTTTGGCTAGGACGGTGTCGTTGTTATACGCTGCAGCGTGCAAGGCGGTCCCGAGAAAAGGATGACTTGTATTGGCATGTATGCCCTGATCCAGGGCCGATATGACAATACTCTGTAAGCCCATCCAGGCTGCCAGAAGGAAGGGAATGCAGTTGTTGTCTTTGTGCCACGATTCTATCCAAGGCATCACGGCGGTCCTGTAGTTCTGGAGCACCCACTCCCGACCGTTATACGTGGTCAGGGCGACGCTGATGGCTCTCAAACAACGGCCCGTGCTGCATTTCTTGCGATCATGCTCACTTGCACATGTTCTCATATAGTCTCGGATCTTAGTAACCTGGGACTTGAGTGCTGTATCCTGGTTTATATATTCGAGTAGAATCCGGGACAACAGACGATTGCTGATGCGCTTGTCCACTGTAGTGATGTATAGAAGGTTCACCACGATAACCTCATTCAGATAACCTATACACAAACTGACTTAGTATTTCGAATCCAGCCAGCATTGACCAGACTGTACGGGAAAGACAAAGCATACGACAAACCATCCTCAGCGACAACAGTTCCTCCAGACTAAGATAGCGCAGGAACTCTAAGACCACGTCCACGCAGAGATCCGCCAGACCCATGATTACTGACATCTTTGCAGGCCTGTAGCGAGGCACAAGCTGGACAGAGGAGAAATGAATACTCCATCGCTATTTATATCCTCCGTAGGCATGCAGGAGTAAAATGGGTGGCTGTCAGATGAAACATGCCAAGAATGGAGATCAAACCGGGGATCTGTAAGGTTGTAGCTGGCTAGCTGAATAGGATAGAAGGTTTAGATAAGGTGTCGCTCATTACTTATGGTAAAACTGCAATGTAGATCTTGAGCTGCCAGTAAGAAGATCAAAATTCTGGTGTTGTAGCTTGGTTGTGTTGTGGTGATGGCGGACCGTAACTTAGTCTACATTGATATGAAATCTGTTGGTATGTATGCGGAATTCGTGCTTCACATCCCACACCACTATAAGACATGGATTACACCTAATTGCAATGCAGAAAATGCAGCATGGCTTGTGTCTAGCCTCTGGAAAGAATAAAAACCGAATATAAATTAACTCTGAGGTTCGTCCACCGGATATACTAGTTCAGATATATATATTTTGCTGTTGTTGTGGAAGCTCGGGACGTTCCGAACGCGATGGGTTCGGGAACTATGAAGTTGGTATGTTGAGTCCAGCAGATTCCTGACTCTGAAAAGATCAGTCGAGCGGGGTCATAAAAGGGTAGCATCTATTATTAGAATTGAGACCTAGCTCACATTCAGGACTTCTCAATCCGCAAGATTGTCCTCGGAAAATTGAGTTCAGTCAAGAATTAGGGTTTACATTAAACCCAGCAAGGCTATCGGAATATCTAGTTTTCCGACAGTAGAAAGTGACCATACATGGTGTCTCAATTGATAGAAAGTAAAGTGACAGATTGTGGTCTATCTTACCGAGGTGCATTTCGTGTTGGTTGAATCAGAACCTCGAAGTTCATTTGAATGGCATTATTGGTCAATCTCACGCCGTGTCCACCTTAGCAATCTCAAACTCTCGTTCAAGAGTGGACCCAGCCTTCAGCTGAACAACATACCACTAGCCGAGCGCCAATCTATCCCCTCTTCAGACCCGGTACTATTAAGTACTTAGTGCGTACATCATCCATCAAGTTTCCCCTCCAACCACATTATCACTCTCTAACAGAAAATAAAGGAGACCACACAACCAAAATGTCTACTTCGGGCCTGCTCTATGCTGCCTCAAGGCTCAATTCTCCCTCGCGAAAATCATCAGATGTCTTTAACACCTGGTATAATGACATCCATGTGCGTGATGTCCTCAAGACCTCGGGAATCAACTCCGCAGCGCGCTATGAAACGGCCGCAGTGCCCCAAGACAGTTCCCCATGGACATTCCTTGCTCTCTACCCCGTCCCAGACATCGAGTTTCTGAACACGGAGGAGTTTACGAGCATCCCTGTGACCAGTGATGTTCTGCCGGGGCCGACACACAGTTGCATGGATATAGCGCATTTCGATATCAGGCGATACCGCGAGGTAGGGAGACGACAAGACTCGGCTATGCTAGCAGGTGAGACTTACAAGACAAGAGAAGACAAAGGGCAAAAGCTGATTCACTCCTGTGATGTTGGATGTGTTAGGTCCAACGACTCATCTCATTACTGTGGAGTTTGACTTGCCTTCACACATTGACAAAGCCGATAACCAGGCTGTGATGGATTGGTTCACTGGGATATATAGTAGTAATGGCGCGCCTCAGCGGGTCGCTATTCATGAGGTCTTCTGGGCTATGTTGTTCCCGGACGGGAAACCA